AAATCTTTAGTGCGTTGAATTAAGAACATATCGACAATTTTCTCACATATATAAACTCAGTATTGGACCCAATCCAGTTCACTTACGATGTAGAAAATGAGCAAGGAGAATTACCTATGCTGGATCGCAGAACAAAACAAAGGACAGACGGTGGTGTAAATACTATCGTCTACAGAAAGCAGACTCTTTCCAACAGGTATCTAGACTTCAGGTCATCTCAACTAACGTCAATTAGGTCAGTTAGGTCTAGTCAAATGTCGAAATAATAGCGTAAGAAAACTGACTAGTTATTGTAAGGATCTAAACAAGGAACTGAAACACAAAAGGAGCGCTAATAATCAATTATTATCCTCTGCAGTTTATCAAGAAATTCGTATGAACACATAAGAAAGGAAATAATAACAGTAACACAAGGATAAATAATAACGACAACACGAGTAGAAAAGAGTTCACAGCCTCCATTGTGTTACCCTATAAAAAAGGTGCATCAGAAACTTTACGTAGGATCCTCATCAAAGCTGGAATCAGGGTGGCACTTACACCTACGAGCTCACTCAGAGATAAGCATTGTCAGCTTAAGGATCCGATAGAACGAATTAAGCAAAATAATCTAATCTATCAAATTCTATATAATGACTGTGAGGTCAAGTACATAAATCCAACTGACCGGTCGGGGTCACTTCGAATGACAAAACATAAAATTACAGACCCAGATATGATGAATAATCGAGAAAAACATTCAGTTATTGCAATATATGCATACATTATAACACAACCACATAATACGGTGGGACAAAACCACTGTACTAAAATCCAATATAATTAGGTGGAGAGGGAAATTGATTACTGAATCTTTGTTCATCGAATCAACATTCAACACATGTAACAGGAATGGCTCAACACCTATACCAGAGGTATGGAAAAATTTACTACCAACAAAAACAAAGAATCTGAGATGACAGGACCATGAAAAGCAGATGTTGAAAGTAATGTGATACGATACGATTTATGAGCAATGATAATTTATGTTCGAAACGTCATCAAGTAAATAATACTGTATCACGCTGTGTTATAAATCAAATATTTCAAGTTGTTATTCGTCGTAGACTGACATCAGTTGGAGAGGAACAAAAGAAACCTGGGAGCACTGGACAGCTGTTTCGTCCTAGTTTGGGACTCCTCAGCAGTGCGCACCCACGGCCAAACAAACAAATCCAATATGGAAGTAAATGCTAACTTTGCAATATATGGACGTCATTTTTTGTGTCATTCCAGATAATAAATGGCCAAAGAAATGTTTTGCTCCACTAATATTCAACCTATTTCCCCATAACGTAGCGCGAAATGTAATACTTCAGTGATTATAGTAGCATGAAATATCCACTACAGCTTACGCGAATTTTTATCAATTTATCTTTTATACGATAGACATCTAGACTAAAGTTGTTACGAATATCCTGAAAGAACCCGAGCAACGAGTTTGATTTAATCATCATAAGGGTATATTTTAACATAATTCAAACTGTTTAGAAAATCAAAACAAGTATTTTTTGGACGTTTTGCTGCGTAAGTCACAACTTCTTCAACAGAATACTTAAGCATTTTTATTTATATCAAAATATAAAGCGAAACAGTAACTCGAATATTTAGTGTATGTATGTCACTGGTTAGGTGGTTTGTTGTTCAGACTGAGTAATTATGATCAAGCATTATACGTTCATACTTCTGACTTCTATTTATCAATCAAAATGTAGCGCAGTCAGTGTGTGTGTGAGCGCGCATGTTGTAAAATATGTGCATTGTTTCCTGTACTCGTATCAGAGTAGCTTGTTCATGAACAATCTCTAATTGTCATTGTTATTAAAGCTTCAATATTAATGGTTTTCAGTTTGAATATCTGAGATAGTTGTGATTTGCTAGACTTGTACTAATGAAGGATGATGATTAGAGATGAAATCTAAATCTGCACCTCCCCCTCTCTAATTCAGGATGATGTCAGTTGGGATAATAAGTCCTAGTCGTGTCAAGAGTGGGAATACAATGAACAGATAGTTACATATCATAAATTCACATAGTAGTCAGGTAAAATCATTGGTGATTGAAGTGAAATAAAAATGTGGTCATTGGTCAAGTCTTGTAGCCCAGTTGGTGGAGCATCACGGGTCGATAACTCGGAGGTTGCTGGTTCGAATCTTGCCGCGATCGAGATTTTCATCTCACTTTCAATCATCTCCCAGTAACAACAATGCAGTTCTGTCAAACCATGGCTATCTCAGTTAGTCAAACCGACAGTTAATGGTTTTATCGGATTAATGTTTTCCAAGTAGATGACAAATCTGGCCCATCTCTTCGTTTTACAGTGTTTATGTTGTTAAGGTATGCAGGGCTTCTGAAGGTAATCTTTCTCTGTGTGAACAGAAAACTTATCCCATTATGTCAACATTATCAAGGCCAATCATATGTATACTTTCGATTGCATGCATAGCTATTGCTGATCACTTTTCTACACTTTTTTAGTTCATTTTGATTTTTCATTAGAGGTTTCATACGTAACTTGTGTTCCTGAACCTCAATTTTTAAGGAAGAGTCTACAACTTTCTCCAACATAATTAGCTTCACATTCTAAGTATTTATTGGTGTAGATTCAGTTATTCTGTGTCATCTTAAGACTTGATTAGGGACATTATTTGTACTTCCTGAATCCAGCCAACCAGTTCCAGTCGTAATTTTGAATTCAGAGCACTTTTTAATCTCTCCAGGATGATGCGGCATAATATTTTGCTTGTGGTGGATAGGGGTGGAGCATGATTCCGTGCCAGTTCTTGCAAAGACTTAGGTCGCCCTACTGCAAGAGTTTGAAAAGGTAGTCCTTCGTCCAATCTGCAGGTATGTTTCCTTCCTTCCTTCCAAACCTTCTGCAGTGGTGATGTACGCATGTCGGTTGTTGTCTCTGCGTCGGTTTTCGGTGCTTCTAGCGGAATTCCTTCTAGTTCTGCTGCTTTCCCGCATTTCAGCAGCTGTATGGCACTCAGGACTTCACTTCTGCTTTTGTCGGGGGACTTGTGTTGACTGGTAGTTCTGTGGCTGGACTGCTGGTGGTGGTGGTATTTCTGGAAGAGTTGCAGGTGTTGGTCTATTCAAGAGCTTTTTAAAGTGGTCAAGCCCATCGTTTCCTCTGTGTCTCCTCTTTGGCGGTAACTAGGTTTTCTTTACTATCTTCCATTGGTTTCGTCTGAGTTGGTCTCATCCCTCCCAGATAATAACCTGGTTATTTGATATAATGTTGTCAGGTCTCTCCTACCAGCAGCCTGTTCTGCTTCACTTGCTAGTGTGTCGTAGAAGTGTCTTTTGACTTTGCACACACTCCTCTTCACTTTTTTGTCCAGTGTAGTGGTTTATATGTTGTGTTCAGTTCCTCTTTTCTTTGTTCATCCCTGCACTGTACTGCACTTGTTCATCTTCTGCTTCACCATCTTCCTCTCCCTGCTCTATCATCTTCCATGTGTCCGTCGAGATTCATTCCTTCTCTTGGTCCTTCTTCCTTCCTTTCTAATACGGTTGTGCAAGGTTCCTTCCACGTCAGTATCAAAGAGTTCCAGTGTTCTTCCACACAGGCTTTTTCAGAGATGTAGCTCAATGTCTTCCGTTTTGTCTTGATGGCTGGTGTGAAGATGTCGTTTAGAGTTTCGTCCTTCAGTTTTTGTTCTGGTTGTTGAACTTGAAGTGTGGTCTATCATCATTAACTTCTGTGAAGGCTTTCAACTTGATTTTGGAGGTAGGTTCCTTAACCTAGATAGTGAGTGGTGTGAACCTACATCTGCACTCCTTCTTGATCCGATATTGTGTCCAGTAGGCTGCGTCTGCACTTTCTTGAGATTGGGATGAAGTCGATCTGATTTTTAGTGTGTCCTGGTGTCTGGTGAAATCCATGTTCGCTTTGTGAATATCCTTGTGTTTGTACACACTATCTCCAATCACCGAATCGCCAAATGCGCAGAAATCTGCAAATAGTTCCCCATTCTCGTTCATTTCGTCAAGTACTTCTCGACACATGATGAGTTCTCTTCCTGTGTTGTCTGCTCCGAGTTTGACATTCATCTCACCCACTAGAATTTTGATACATGACTGAAAGTCTAAATACTTTCGGAATTTGTTAACTTTCTGTATATTTTTACGCTAAAATTTGCCTTCACTTGTTCTTTGGATAGGACAATCTAAACAGTTTAGAGTCTTGTACTTGGATTTTATTTCATTGGTGAATTTTATTGAATCTGAAACAATTTATATATCACAAAAAGGCCTGTTGGTTTGCTTTCTCAGGAGTGACAAATGCATCATCCCCATACTTATACGGAACCCTAAATTGGCATATGGAAACTGTTGAATGCCCTCTCTTCCGCATCCTTCATGCATAGATTCGCAACAACTGGGATTGCTAGCGAACCCATTACAACTCGCTTTGTATGACAATACATCCTGTCTCTAAATGCGAAATATATGGATTCTAAGCATAGCTTCAATGATTTCATAATGTCCTCCGTTGAAAGTGGACACTGAGATTATAAATCTTGGTTATGGATAAGTGAATACCTTTAAATATCCAGACATTTAATTACTGGTATACTGGTGAAAAGAGAAATTACATCGAGGAATGTCATAATTTTATCTTTTCCTTAGCTAATATTTAATAGTTTACTTTTGAATTCTTGTACGTTTTTAACCTTTTATTGAAGGTAACATGGAAATGGTTACAGAATTCTCCCCGAATACATAAGATCAAAGAGGAATCCTTGTTTTGTAGGCTTTTTGTCTGTCGTAGAATCGGGCAACTGTGTTGGCTTTAGGAGATAATGAAAATCATATTGTGTTTCTATGTTTATGTTTCACTTTTCCATTGACTTTCCATGTTTCAAAAAAATGTTGCTTTGATTTTCTATTCACTCTGGGATTATATTAAAATATACTGTTATAATGATTATCTTTTATACATTTTTTTGTAGAAAATGAATCCATGGCATTTAGATCGAACACGATAGCAACGAAGGCGGTGGAATGTTATGTTAAATTTGTTGGTTCATCAGTAAGTTAGATGATACTTTCACGTAGTTGTTTGTGTTTGTTTGTTTTGTACTATGCTTTTTCTATTAATTATTACTCTCATCCATTGAACACCGTTCGTCATTTTGCTTTCATGAAGTTAAGAGTTTGGTTAAATAATCAGGCATACGTGTAGCGGTGATTTTAGTTGGAACTGCTTTAAGAGTCCTCAAAGTTTTGCCACTGAGGTCTATGCGAGCTTTTGATCACCCTTGACACTATTACTGTTATTATTATTACCAACTTCGCTTCACTTTTGATTTAGCCTTATGAGTAGTTATTCACTAAATACCAACAGTTATTTACTGACTCAGTCGCCTGTAACAATGACTTGGTGGTCTAATCTGCAGTTTTGACATTTTCTCAGCAAAGGTTTCCAAAGATTCTGTCATTCATTATAATCTGATTCATTTGATGAATCATAGAACAGCTGTAGCCTTCTCGAGTTGAATCCCATGCAGAAGGTCTATACCGGTATCTTGTTTATGTTCTAGCAAGGTATATGGCCAAGAAGGACTGAAAGTTTGAACTATTGACAGGTGGATTTGAGCCATCTGTGCTCAGAGTTTATCATCAACTTTCCTATTTCATTGTGCAATTTATCTCACAGGAAAACTAGCTTGAAATAAACTTGTGTTTTTTCTTTGAAATAATGGTCACCTACCATTTTTTTGTTCTTAAATGATCTGAGTTTGGAGGTTTGTGGGGATTTCACTGATTCCAGGTTGGCATTCACCATGTGTTGACATCAGATGGAGAAACATTGGAAATTTAGAAGCACTGAACAGCTGTTTCGTCCTAGTGTGGGACTCCTCAGCAGTGAGCAGTCGTGACCCTGTCAGGTATCTAACTCAAGACCTTAGTGTCCCGCTGTCAGCGTGCACTGCTGAGAAGTCCCACACTAAGAAGAAACAGCTCTCCAGTGTTCCCAGGTTCCAAGTGTTTCTCTAACTGATGTCAGTTCACGATGGATGCCGACGTAAGAACTAAGTGAAGCTGAAAAGCCAGTGATGACCTCTTTACACCAAGCGTTTTATCACGTGTCAAAGATCTTATGTGCATTGTACTTTGATTCGATTGAGAAATTGTTAGTCGTGACCAAATTGAGGCAGTGTTCAAAGGCATAAAAGTTAGTGAAGCCATTAAATTTGGAGGTCTATGAGGATTTAGCAATTGGTTCTAAGTTGGTATTCATCACGAACTGACATTAGTTGGTGGATCATTGAAAACCTGGAAACACTGGACAGCTGCTTCGTCCTAGTGCGGGATTCTTCAGCATCGCGCACGCTTGACCCTACCAGGAGTCGAACACAGGACATTTAGGTTCCGTAGACTGCACGTAACCCTTGAGCCACTGGGTTGGGGTTATGTCATGTTAGTCTGACACACGTTGCATAGCAAAAGTCTTTTATATCTAGGGAAATGGGAGTAGGCATAGATTGTAATAAATAAAAGAATTGAAGATTCAATGCAAAAATATGTCTAGCCTTTATCTTTGCAATTTAAACATTGTATCACAAAGTGTTTTGTTGTCTCATGCTCCATTTATCCTTTTCTTGCTCCTTTTTGTTGAATAATCTTTAGTATGACGCTGACTTTCTTCCATCTCCCTCCGTTTCTATAACTCATCAGTTTTTATGGTCATCACAAAGAGTGTTTGTTGATTACCTATTTGAACTATTTTTACTTTTTATTGCTATGACAATTAGTGAAGATGAGTCTTTATGTGTCTCCAAAATCCTGCATGGATACAAAAATCCTTCAAATGTTTCTTATATTATCTTGTAAATCACTAACTGTCTACATCATTACTTCTGCTATATAATCAATATAAGGCTAGGTTATTTCACAACTTTTATCTCTCCTACTTTGTTTTAAACTATCTAGCCACTTACTTTTCTTATTACATTTGTGATGTTTGCTTTATTGAAATGGCCATTATAATACTTTCTATCTTTATCCTTCTCCTCCTATTCAGAAATAAACAACTGCTAAGAATTAAGAATTAATTCAGATATGTGCTGGTATTCTTAAAATTACCTCAGCCTTTTATAGAACCCTCAGTGACGGCTGACTTTAGAGAATAATGCTACATGTAGTGTGCAATAATATTGGTCAGATCCACATAAGAAGCTCAAAATCCCTGAAACCTTTCACAACCAATCAAATTGGTTCGAATACCCAAGAAACGAAAGTAAACTGTGTGAATTTCAGATTGGTTGAAGAAACGAAAATCACTAGGATATACCATTCTACAAAGGTTTATAAATGGTCAAATCTATTGTAGATATATATAGTCATCGTACTTCGTACATATTTTGACATTGCATTGCACTTTCTGTTATCTTACCATCTTTCGTATTTACCAATGAACTGAGTATCTATCAAGGGTGGAACCTGAAGGTTATTGTTCAAGAGTGGTTGGAAGGTGTCTTATTTGGTGAACACTTTGTGTGTACTCACTCAGTTCACTGGTTGTTATTAGTAAGTATATAAAAATCTGGCATTTTAAAGGTAATCCAACATTTGTATTAAAACTTTTCATTAAAACTCTCTGAACTCAATTTAGATTTTGCTTAGGTAAGAGTTAAATCATCAAGCTGTTTAGCGAAGAAGCCAAAAAGTGAATACCGTGGCAAATCAATCAAGAAAGCTTGCTTAATATTTTTTTTTTAACGCCGTTATTACACCCTAAAGGTCACATAAAAAACCACCTATCGACCAGCTGATACAGCATAAAATTCCCAACATTTTCACAATAAAAGCAGTGCTATTCACATATCTAAAGTTCTTGGTCAGGAAGTTGAAAAGATTCATAAGCAATATTGTTGGTGATTCTAAAAAATTTGCAATTCACTCATCAACATTTTGCACAATCATGTAGTAGGCAATGAACCACACTTAGTGTGCCTGGCAGCCCATAAATCTGTAGGGCTCGGGGCTGGAACTGGTGACCCATTGATTGAATATCATCTCCCTAAACCACTGTGGAAGACAATGTCGAAGGAAGTAGAGGTGAAGTTGAAAATATTTGACTTCGATCAATGGAAATCATTGTATAAATGGTGTGAAAGTGGATGATACATTCTGACTGCTAACACTGAGAAATGATTTCTTTTTACATCACTAGACCGTTGGTTCTGGTCAGTCTTAGAAGATATATACTAGTCACTATTCTCCGTACAGCCTTTTTTGAAATATCAGTTTGAAGGGCTCAACCCTTTTCTTTCGTAGGACTGTACACCATTGAAATGAAACTTGGAAAATATAAGGTTGAAATAAGTAAATTTCGAAGCAGATTGTATCCAAATGCCTCTTGATAAAATGACAAAGCCATACCGCCATGTGAATATTGGGAAACAAACACTTAACTGTTCTAACGTTCCAGTACACCTTAACGGACATTGACTGCTTCCACATTCTCATCATCCGCTGTTGCTTGACATTCCTAATATTGTGTAACCTGTACAGATTAGATTCATTATGTCATTGCAATCGGTAAATAGAATAAACACATCAGGGCAGTAGTTTTGGCCTAGACGGTTTCAAATGATAATTCATTATAGGCGTAAAACAGCTGACCGATTGACACCAGAGGACTGATAAGGTAAACCTGATGTGTGTATATGACAATAATGGTAACTGTCTGCCTTTATTTTGCTGTCTTAAATCACTTAGAAATACTCCAGTTTAAAGATCCATTGCCAACCACATTTTCGCGAATAACACCTCTCTAACACTAAGCTATTTCAGTATAGTAGATATAATGTATGCAATACTAAAAAGGTCACTTTTAAACATATATACAATGCATAACATAAATTGAAGTCTTCTCTTCTACAATCTTTGTTGTGGATCAATACAATTTTCAGCTGTGGACACTTGCTTGTAGATATGATTGTCGAATGAATTCAGTGCGTCGGTATACGCATATAACGATCGTATCTAAAGAGATCAGTGTCAAGCACGTCCTAAGCTAGATTTCTTTGATATGAAGGTAGACATCAGCACTGAGCATTACAGAGTAGGAGTGATGGCCACCTGAGAAACATATATTCCCAGTACATTATTACAATTATTCAGGGTTTTATGTCTGTTATCTCGTAGACCCCAACCGTGAAGCTTACATCTCCTTATACGGCCAGAGACTTCATAACTTCATGCCATGTCTTGGTTTGGGCATCCTAGGGTTTTACAAACCTAACCATACTTCATGCAGCGTGTTTATTATACGAAGATGATGGGTAGGCATGCCTAATACACATCCTAGTTATCTATTTGTCTTCCTATCTACTCCAATTTCTACTCTGGAACGAAATTCGTCTATTTGTAAAAGTCAAGAAACAAATGTGTTTTAAGTTCTTTTTATTCAGGTGCATACTTAGTGTGTGTGCTGGAAACAAATAATCAATTGCAAAGTTGCTTACATATTGTATTGATTTATTTTTTGATTCAACCGTGTTTACTGTGTTGATGAGTGTTTTTACAATCTCGACTGCTCACATTGTGACAGATTTTATCGGTGTTATCGTTTATTTATGGTTGAAGAAGAAATAAAATGATTCAACCTGTTGAAATGAACAAGGACACTTTCTTTTCAATGAGCTGGATATTCGCAATGAATTTGAACAAAATATTTTTCATTTCGAATGAGTATTGCCAGTCAGGTTGATATCGAATGTCCCAGAACATAACAGATAGTCATCTTTGTGACTGTCTACACATATGCATAAATCTCTTTCAGACTGCAATAGACTGTTAATTGTAAACCGTCAAATTCGATTCCAGTGATAAACTTATGGGAAGGTATAATTTGTTTCTCTATTCTGTGGTAGATAACCACTTTTGTCGCAACTCTACCCCACAGACAGACAGACAGAATCAATGTAGAACCTCGCACACGAGTACATCCACTCAAGTTGCAACACAGTGGTATACAGAGAACAGGTGGATGGAACAAGAGTAATATCAAGGTAGAAAAAA